TTTTTTTTTCAAACTTTATGCACTGCTATCTGGACAAATATGAAACTAACGAGTCATTCGGTTTAGATCCAAGCATAATATTATAATTCACACCTCCTAGTTTTTCGTTGATCTGGAAAACAGTGCTTACGGGAAGTGCAGTCTCAAGACAATCGCTTACCTTAGCAACAACATTGTCGAGCGTCTGATTCTGGTTTTTGACGAGAACGGCATCAACTTTACTGCCTTTGATTTCCTGCGAAACAATTTGGTACTCGATTTCCAACAACTTGATGAGATCTAAAAACGCGCGTACAAATATATCTTTGAAGCCACACTTGTACCTAGGACGAAATCTCCTTCAAAGCTGAAAGAAATTTACCATGCTGCTTGATGTTGTCCGATGTAATGAACATCAGATAACGACGATTCTTCGCCTTTTGAGAGGCGTACCATTCCTAAGATTTAGTATGAATAAGAAAAATTTTTAAATCTCAAGCAGAAAAATAAAGATAAGTAGAAACATTTCGATTGAATTATTCATGTGAAGTAAACAAAGTAGAAGTGTAAAAAGACTATGAAGGACAAACCTTCAAACTTTCAAAATTTTGACGTTGGAGATTGAAAATCTCAGCGCATGGATCCACTTCCATCCCACGCTGACGGCATCGGCCTTCGATGCGTGCTACATAGTCCCTAAATGAACTAAATATGCACAGAAATTTCTTGATAAATGGCCACAAACTTGATGTGCAAACGGCGACTATCATTTTGCGTTAATGTGGCGCAAACAGCCCAATTAGACAGCGTGGCAGGCTCAAGAAAACGTGAACGATCTCCATTCCACTTACACTAAAGAGAAAGTACCAAGCTTTGCTGTAACGTCTAAATAGAACTCAAGATACATACATTGTCCGTGGGCTTGACCAGTTGATTTCCGCCATAAACAATTGATGGTGCTGGCAGTATACGTCCGGGCACCTACGATATAGACAAATTTATTCATTAAAAAATAGCAGAATGAAAGCAATTACCGAGGTGAACCCGTTTGCTACGTTGACTCCAGCAAATTTCAGATGCGGGTTACCTTCTTTGATATCCAAAGCTTCTTTCAGAACTTTGGTCTGATGCAGACGATTTTGCGGCAATGTAGCACACGCCTACAAACAATTTCGTTCCTCTCTACTTTGCACAACTTTTTGGCAATCATATATAAACCCCGAAATTTAGAACAACAACTGTAAATCACCTTTATCATAGTTGCCACCTGGTCAGGTGTTTGCTGCTGGAGAGTTACTCTCTGAGACGGAGCAACGCTCAAAAGCTCCACAGGATAATATATGTGTGGATTGTGACGATCTGATACGGTGAAAATGCCAGGGCATCTAAGTAGACCGATTAAGGATGCTCTATATTTCACGATCTCAACCCAATCCTACTACCATAACAAAACACAATTCATTTCACCAATGATTGACAGCAAGCAAAATAGCCAATAGACAAGAAACCATGTCCATATGATCTGCCCCAAAACTACTATCAACAATGGACTACCCACTTTAATACAATGCTATAGTGCTTCTTGAAGTACTGCTCCACTGTGCATTGAGTTCCTTCAGCACTTTGGAACCTAAAATGCGGTCTTTCAACAAAACTCGGGTGGCTTATATTCTACTGCTCTTAGGGTACCTCCATACTTCGTAAGGATCGTCCGATTCAGATCGGCCGACCCTTATAACGCTCACAAGCGCAATAAGAATCGGGCGATCGAGGGTGCGCAGCGGTTGCGTTGCGGTTCCCTATTGAGTGCCGATTTAATGCAATTCGGCTCTATCCTAGCCTTTCCGCACTTCTTCCGATCTGACTTGCTTTCTTTCTTCAGGTTGTGCTAGAGTTCTCAGAAGTCGCAAGTGTGCTGAAAGGATGAGGGCGGAACCCCAGGCAAAATGGTATTTGACTGCGGTACAGCAACGCAACCGCCGCGCACCCTCGATCGACCGATTCTTATTGCGCTTACCAGCGTTATAAGGGCCGATTCAGATCGGCCGATCCTTATGAAGTATGGAGATACCCTTAGGAAAGTGCCACAGCAAATATGTATGAAAGAAGAATATTTCTAGCAACAAACTTCAGCTGATTCGCAGGTAGTGCAAGGTTCCCGATGGGGAACGTTTTCTTTTTGCCATACATCGTCCTCACGTAAAGTCCTCAAACAAAATTATGATAAATTAGAACTTGACCATCTGCATAAAGCATGGCTTCAACAGCATGTAACACGATAAAATTACCCTTGATCGATTGTAAGATAGCCTTTTGATTGAAGGGCTGCATTGCCGATGTGACGCTAAAGTGAGATTGTCCCGACCTAGGGTCAATGAAGATCGACAACTGAGAAATTTTTTCAAGCAAATTCTGATCGTCAATGTGGAATGCGCCTTTTGTCACTATAAACGTACATTCACATCTGATGTGTGTGTGATACAGACATTAACAATAAGAAATTGAGCTACCGTCTGCAACTACAAAG